ATTTGAATTTCCTTGGTAAAGATTCGTTGTCCAACAAATTGAGGCAAGTCGTTCTCGATAGCTGTGGATACGGTATTTTTGTTGAATGTCAGCGAACAATCAGCGATATCTCCCTTCCTAAAAAAATAGAGAGTCTTGCCCACAGCGTTGGTTGGATGTCTGCCTGTCAAATCGTTTCGGTGCCAACATTGACGGAACTTGGCATTTTTATATACGAAAAGAACAATCAGAAACGTTTTAATAATCTTATTGAAAATATCACCTATCTTAAAAATGACATCTGGGTGTATGTTCGCTACCTCCAGACCGGACAGATTGAAAAAAAACTTATCTCAAAGAACGTGCAAATTCTTGGTAGGCTTCGTACTGGAATCTCAATTTCTATCTTGGAAAACTTTGAAAATGGTTCAAGTGCATGGAGTGATAACCTTTTAATTGTGAAGCTTAAAGCTTGTGCTGGCGGTCGATATATTGTAACCGCAGGATCAGGAGACAATGCTATTGTGTTTAAGACAAAGTTGCAAACTGGCTTTAAAGATCGTGCGATACAGAGTGACCAATTTATTAGTTTTAAACGTAACTATCTTTTATTCGTGTTTTATAATAATGTAATTAAAAAATTTTTTTTTTATTAATATTTTCTTTTTTTTTAAAAAAACCATTAAATTAAATCATTAATGTAAACAAAAAGTTGATTCTTTTTATGATATGAAAAATGCCGCGCTAAAATCTCTTAGAATAATCAGATATTGTTATCGTCAAATGCTCGTTTGGAAAAACTGTGACCGGAGACTGTAAAGAAATTAGTAAAACGTAGGATGCCATACGAGACCTTACTGTAAGTAAAACAGAAGAGAGAGGGTCAGAAAACCAAAATAAGAAAACTGGACAGGCGTAAAGCTCGTCAAAAATGGGATGCGACCAAAACGTCCCTACTTGTTGAAGGACTTTATAAGGTTTGTGTGAAACAATTTTTTCTTTTTTTTTATTTTTATAAAAATTTGGTTCATTTATCATGTTTCTCATACCTATTGAATTATTTAGCACGGCATTGGTAATTGGAAGAAAATTTTAACCAATCCAAAATACCCTTTTCCTAGGGATCGAACAGCCATTGATCTTAAAGATAGGTAAGTTAGTTTTCTTTTTTTTTTAATATGATAAAGGAATGTGTTTTTTTTTAACCAAGTTAATTTTTTTTGTAAAATGATATTAGTATAGTAATTTCTGGTCGAGAATTGCGAATGAGCAGCAACTGAATTTAATGCATCAGATCGGACAAGATCGGTAAATTAACCATCACAGAAACTGCACTTTTTCTTAAAAAAATTATTATGATCCCAATAAATGATTGGATTATTTTGAAGGTATAGAGTTGCATTCCCTGAAACATACGCTCGTTCTCATTTTATTAAATCACGAAAGTCAAATTATATTGAACAACTGGATTTCTAAATCCTAAAGAAGTTTTATGCGTTGCCATTCCAAACTTTACAAAGATCCGAAATGCCTGACGTATAAACACTTTTTTTTTATACATTATATTAAATTAGGAAAAAGAATATGCATTCTTATAGTATAACAACTAATATTTCAAATATCGATTAAAATAATTGTTTAATAATCACAAAATTATAGTTATCACGTGATCAGATATTAAAAATATCGGGAATCATCATAAACAAGCATTATTAGATAGAAATTATTTTTGCTATAAAAAAAATAAAATAAAAATTTTTAAATATACTTTCTTAAAAATTAAATTTAATATTTTAATCGCTTGTATAATAAAGATAATTTTTAAAAAAGAGAATTTTGGTTGTGTAACAATATCTCAGAGGTTGATTTTGCTGGCAACAGATAAAATAAATGCCGTATAAAATTTGGTTGTGTAACAATATCTCAGAGGTTAATTTTGCTGGCAACAGATAAAATAAATGCCGTATAAAATTTGGTTGTGTAATAATATCTCAGAGGTTGATTTTTTGTAAAAAATTAAAAGAATAAAACAAGATATCAAATAAGATATCAACAAGAAATCAACAAGAAATCAAACAAGTCAATTTTAAAAATAGTAGCAAATTTAATCATTAATAATTGGTTTAAA